GAAGGCATACAAGGAGGCTTCAGGAGAAAAACGACAAATCTTCCAGCCAAAACAACCACTTACATCTTTGGGAGAAAAGTACTTTCAAAGAAACAGCACCATATTAGCTTTCTTGTTTATATAAAAACCACCACTTTGAGTATCAGAAAGGAACACTTAAGTGATGATATCGTGACTTCTCTTAGAAAGGTATTATCTTTGCAAGTCAAGAAAAGAAATCTTTGTGTAATTACCTTTCAAGGGGTGCAAGAATAAATGCACATCGAGAGCCTTCGGATGCACTGGCTGTACCTTTATTATTTTTACCTCGTTCACTAATAGTTCCGTGATGCAAGGTTACCATACACAGTTAGATAATGTCTGCATTGCACATCTAAGGCTATACAGCAAAAGAATCAGAATTAGTACAAATACAAGAACTATATTTACAGTCTGTATACTCAAGCTCCAAACATCAGATAATATTTACAAAATAAAACATGAAAATGAAAATCCAAAATTAATAATGTACATTGTTGCTAATGTGCTCAACTCCTTCACTGGGGAGAGATCAGTTTGCAAAGTCTTGGTTCAAAAAGGCCACTTATGCATTATGGGTTTTGTTGTCATGTGTGAGGATGGTGACAAGAGACTTGCAATCTCAACAGACAAGTACTTTAGAGCCACAAAATCTAAGACGATGCCTTAAATACAAGAAGGCTGGTGGACTCCTCAGGTGAACTGATGCCAGAATACGCAGAATGAAAAAAAAAAAGAACTCGAAGACATGAAGAACAACACACAACAGCCAGGGTTTGGCAAGAGACCAACCTCAGCTCAGACTTTCCATCCAAGCACAGCCGTTTGGCTGTGAGCTTTTTACATGAATTTTATAGCAACTCTGATTTCCTCCTTTAAATGACTGGAGGCTTTTTAAAGATCCTATGGGGCTCAAATACTAACTTCATAAATGGCCTTTTGAACAATAGCAGCAAATAATCTCTCAGCTGATATTTCAATTTACTAAGGAAGCACAAATTAAAACATTCCTCCTACACAGTCATGGTCTGGCCACACACCAGGGTGAATCACTGGCCCTGGTGAACAACTGTAGTGCACACAAGTTAGAGTCCTATGTAAACACATCCAGCAAACCTTCTGGGAGCAGCAGCAAAATCAATCTTTTCTTTTGAGACAGAGCCCTGCTTTGTCACCTGGGCTGGAGTGCAATGGTGTAATCTCAACTCACTGCAGCCTCCACCTCCCAGGTTCAAGCGATTCTCCTGGCTCAGCCTCCCGAGTAACTGGGATTACAGGCACACGCCACCACGCCTGGCTACTTTTTGTATTTTTAGTAGAGACGGGATTTCACCATGTTGGCCAGGCTGGTCTCGAACTCCTGACCTCAGGTGATCCACCTGCCTTGGCCTCCCAAAGTGCTGGGATTACAGGCGTGAGCCACCACGCCCGGCTGAATTTTTTCTTTTTAAGGGGCAGGTTAACAATCACATTTTAAAAGGGAACCAAAGGAAAAACTGAAAGACCCAAGTGAAACAAGCCCTGATACCGTCCCTTGGAACCCGAGCGGGACACAGCATGAGGGAAATGCGGAAAGAGCAGCGATGAGTGTGCACACTGGAGGATCTCTTCTCTCCAATCCACTGTGCAAGTAAGTATAGCTGGATAAATATACATAGACCTGACAAAATTAAATATCCCTGTAAATTAGACAATAAGCAGCAGGCAACAAAGTCTTTGCTTTGGAATATGTGCCAGGCAAAGTCATCTTGTTTTTAGATCCCAAGAGACAGTTCACAATGACTTAGTTCCTTCATCTGAAATGAGCTGAAAAATCCGTAAAAACTAGGAGCAGTTATCTGAAGTCTATATGACTGAAGGGAAAAAAAACATGTAATAGTGGTTTTTCAGTTGGGAAACTCACTCCATTGCCCCTTGCGGTCAGCACGTTTAACAACGAGCTGGGGCTCAGGTGCCCGGCCACTGCCACAGGCAGCCCTTGCCTGTGCTCCTGACTAGCGCATGGGCTGGCCAACCCTGCACAGTCCTGGCCTGAGCGCTGACTGACTCCCAGGAGGGGACACAGACACAGAGACGGTCTGAGCATCGATTTGGGGCTGGTAGTGAGGCCATATTTTGCTTTAACGGGAGAAAGGAGGATGAGAAAGAGAGGAGGAGGTGATTAGTTTTAACTAGCACTCATTTCTTTGAATTTGCCTAAGAATTCTCTTTCCTGCCTTTTACATTTTTTGCTTATTTAAAGGCGTTCTTTAAGAAAATAAATAAATAAATAAAGGTGGTTTCCTTAAGGGCTGGGTTTCTTAACTTTTCCACCACAACAGCAACAACTAGAGCCTCATAAACCGTTCCTGCCACAAATCTTCTCTCAGAGCTTCAGAGTGGGGATGGTTCTGTCGGGCAAAGGAGCACCCACCCTGGACGTGCTGGGGGCCAGCAGAGGCTGTCTGCACCTGCCAGCCACAGCAGGGGCTCCCCGGAGGGTGGAGAGCATGCAGAACACGACCACTCTGCTCCTTCTGGCTCCCTAAGAGGCCTTCTTATCCGGGCACGCTATGAACAGACAGTCCAGTTTGGCCTGTTCTAATGTCTGATACTTCCAAAGCAAAGACTTACCAAACCAGTTTTGTATGAGTTGGAAGAAAAACCGAAGTCATTTCAGTGTATCACATAATTTCAAACTCTCAGGCTTCCCACCGTCCTGTGTCACAGACATGGATCCTCTGTCACACTTTGTAACAGCAGCATCAATGACTTAATTTTAAAAGTGACCTTCAAATTCCATCTTCATTTCCCTGAAATTAGATTTGATTCCAGTCCAGGCAGCCATCTCTAAGCACCAACAGATCCTGCTGGTTTGAATAGAACCAGAAGGGCATATTGTGTCCATCAGACAATGAAACTTCTAACTACGTTAAAAAATCTCACATACCACTTAGAAAACAAATAACATCAGAGTTAGTGACCTATGTTTTAACGGGAGGAAGAAAATTTTTAAAAAAATCCACCATAGAGTTTCTGCTGGTCACTTTTCAGGTATAGACACAGCCTGTGATTCTATCCTCTCCTTTCTCTCTCCGTGATTCACTTTTCCTCCTCTTCACAATGCAGTGATAAGGATCGAAGCTGGGAGACCTGTTCTTCAGAGATGAGCCCAACCAGGAAGTGAGAAACAAAGGTGTGGACGATGACACAAGTCTCCCTAGCAACAACTCTGCAGAGGCGTGCGAGGCCCTGGCCTTTGCTGCATGAAGCGGGAGGTCATCCAGCTACCTATCGCCTGAGAGTCAGCAACCTCAAGGCCGAGGACCTCACCAAGTAGGAGCGAGCAGATACTTTCCTGAATGCCTGAGCGATGGTGCAACAGAGAGGTCTGAGCAAGGGAAGTAAAGGATGGTGTAAAACAATCCCAAGACAACTGGCAAAGCAACTGAAGTCTCTGGAGGCTTTCCTTTTCCCCTCTTATCCTGGAAAACTTGCTGGCAGCTGAAAGAGACAGACTTATCTTCTCTGATGGTCTCAGAAGCCAGATGACCTGGTCTGTCAGAAGGAAAGAAGACTCTGTCCACAGTGAGCATCCTCCGTTCTCCCTGGGCAGTTTCCACACCACATGGAGAGGAGCAGGGAATACGCAACAAACGCTGGGGCCCAGGCTCCCTGGACGCTCTTCTGTGTCCCTAGGCATATTGTGTTTTGTTGGGAGTAGTGGTCGTGGTTAGTTTTAATCCTGGGATCCAGAAAGCAAAGCCTGCCACATTTGCTTATTTATGAGTATAGAGAGCATCACTGAAAGCATTTTCAACTTGACAAGCATCAGTGAAAATGACTGCTGGATTCAGAGGGAGACTTCCAAGTGTATGCCTGAAAGCTACATTTCTTTGATCAAAGGGAGCTGTAACAATCACAAGGTCACTAAAGCATAATCTTTTTTTTTTTTTTTTTTTTTTTGAGATGGAGTCTTGTTCTGTCACTCAGGCTGGAGTGCAGTGGTGCGATCTTGGCTCACTGCAACCTCTGCCTCCTGGGTTCAAGCAATTCTCCTGCCTCAGGCTCCCAAGTAGCTGGAATTACAGGAGTGCGCCACCATGCTGAATAATTTTGTATTTTTAGTAGAGATGGGGTATCACCATATTGGCCAGGCTGGTCGTGAACTCCTGACCTCGTGATCTGCCCGCCTCGGGCTCCCAAAGTGCTTGGATTACAGGCGTGAGCCACTGTGCCCAGCCTACCCAGCATTATCTTAATCATAACAGTGACCATCAAGTTTATCACCAGAAAGTGAAACACTCCCGCCTTGTGGAACATTTATGTATGACATGGCACTAATTCCAACTGTACCACCACCATCACTAATGCCAAAATCAGAACTGAGACACTCCTAGAAAAGAGCTTCCCTCCCAGCAGAGAAAAAACAGTGGGCAGGAATCCTGCTGTGAGGAGCTACAAGCATCCCACCGCCTGCTGCCCTCATGGCCCACAGCCAAACCCTGGGGTCCCCTGAAGTCTACCCGAAGCATCCTTGGCATTTCCCTTCACACGAGGTCAAGAGCAGCCACTGTCCCAGGCCCACTGAAAAAGCCTCTCTTCTCCTCTCTACCAGTAAATAAAAATTCCATAATTATGCTCTAAAAAGCCCCAACTTTGACTCAGAATATAACTGTTCCAGTTCTATGCTCACCACTACCTTTTCCCCGAATGGAAATGCAGGGATTAGCCTTGGCAAAAAGAGACAGAGGGGGAAAAAACGATTGTTTTTTTCCTCTCAGGTTCTAAAAAGGCCAGATGTCTCTTCCCTTAGTCTCTTCCCTTAGTCTCTAAGCCACCCAAGAAAAATTAAAGTGATATCACAAACAGAGAAAAGAAGAAAAAAGTATCATGTTGTCTTCAAAAACAGACAAAGGTGTCTGGTGACAGCAGCACAGACATCAGAGGTGGTCATGATGGGGACCTATCATACAAAAGGAAGCCAAAGTACACCCACAATTATTTGGAGATTCACCAGATCCCCTCAGCGCTTTTGTGTTTGTGTGTGTGTGTTTGTGTGTATTTAAAAACATTTTTTCCTTTTGTTAGGCCACATGCTACTAACAAGATTCTCAGCACAGGAAAAAAGAAAAGAGTACAGAGCAATGGAGATGGGGACGGGAGAGCTGGAAAAGTGCTGGACAAGGAGGGAGAAGTAGTTAAGCCACAGGATTACATACAAGAGTCACCGTCAAGAATCACAAAGAGAAATGAGAGGTAACGTTTTATCTCTCGAAGGTGAGTGAGGGCACTCGGCAGAGTCACTTAGTATTTCGGCTGGCTCGGGCATCTGCGGGAAAGCTTTGACCTATGGGGGACAAACGGGGAGGTAGGATTAGAAGTCTGGGTACAAGTGTTGGCCCCTCACAGTCCTCTCCCTCTGAGGCTCCCTCCTGGAGCATCTTCCTATTTGGCACCGCAGGCCTAGGCCTCTAAACTTTCTACTCCGGGACCCGTGACACAAGCCCTTAGAGAGCCTGAGGCTGAATCACAGGGCTGGAGGTTGGGAGGCCATTAAGATTCTCACTGTCTTCCCTTTACTCTCTGCCCTGGGCCCCATATGCAGACCTCTTGAGAACAAAAAGACAAAGAAGAAAAATAATTGGTGCACATGTGTGACCAGAGTCTCCCTGGTGGTTCAGAACATGACGATGTCTTACAAGATGCAGAGGCCTCACTACCACCCCACAACCAATTTACACACCTGTCTTTCTTCTCTTTTAAATTTATTTTGAAAAATACTTCCTTTCAAGTCAGACATGGTGGCTCACGCTTGTAATCCCAGCACTTTGGGAGGCCAAGGAGGACAGATCACCTGAGGTCAGGAGTTCAAGACCAGCCTGGCCAACATGGTGAAACCCCGTCTCTACTAAAAATACAAAAAAAATTAGCTGGATGTGGTGGTGGCGGGCACCTGTAATCCCAGCTACTCGGGAGGCTGAGGCAGGAGAATGGCTCGAACCTGGGAGGTGGAGGTTGTGGTGAGCCAATATAGTGCCATTGCACTCCAGCCTGGGCCACACAAGAGCGAAACTCCATCTCGAAAAAGAAAAAAAAAAGAAAAATACTTCCTTTCCTATTTATCTTGATATTCCTGAAGCCAAAAGCCAAAGAGAGAAAGAAAACACAGAACAACTTCTAGACTGGGTGCACTGGCTCACGCCAATAATCCCAGCACTTTGGGAGGCCAAGTTGGGTGGATCATTTGAGGTCAGGAGTTCGATACCAGCCTGGCCATTGTGGTAAAACCCCATCTGTACAAAAAATATAAAAATTAGCCAGGCATGGTGGCGCGTGCCTGTAGTCTCAGCTACTGGGGAGGCTGAGTCAGAAGAATCGCTTGAACAAGGGGCGGAGGTTGCAGGAGCCACTGCACTTCAGCGAGATAGAGTGAGACTCCGTCTCAAAAAAAAAAAAAAACAACAAAAACAACAACAAAAACAACTTGTTACCGTATTGTGCCAGCAAGAAGCGGGTTGAAGGCATACAACCAGTCGTTCATGTCTTTGTCATTCAGGGCCTGCAAAAGGACCCCACGGTGCTTTGTGCAGACAGCAAAGGTGTTTGGTGTCTGAAAGAAAAATGCAGGTAGACAAGAAAGTTACTACAAAGACAGCGATGGGGACCCTTGCCATATTCCCAAGGCATATAGCACTTCACAAAGGAAGTTCAAGACCAGAGAGAAAGGGGAAATTTCACACCACAAAACAGAGAGTGCAGAACTCAAAAGGGAAGGAAGGGCATATGTGGCGATAAGAAACCAAGACAGGGCAGGACGGACCTTCACCATGGCCTGCTGGTCCTCACTGTACTCCACCTGTGCTGTGGACAGGTTAATGATTCCACGCTCCACAGGGTCTTTGTCACTGTTATAGATGAAGACGTAAGGCCGACGGACGACAACAAAATGTTTAGCCCAGTTACTGTAAAGTGGCTCCTTGAAATGAAGGTATCCTTTCTTAGAGACCACTGAGCTAAAAAGGACAATATGACATAAAGTTAGTTTCTCACAAAAAGAAAATAATCATGTGCTGAGGACCATCAAAATATGCCACACCTAGGCCAAGATTCAACAAAACAGGCAAATGACCTCTTTGGCCTAGAATCTTATCTGCCAAAGTAATGCAGCAAAAGAGAGAAACCATGCCATGGCAACCTGCTGCGCCAGGGTGCAGATGCATCATGAGACCCAACTGGAGAAACCCGGCCCAGCCCTCTCACCCCAGACTCAACCTGCATTAGACTACAGTACAGACCTCACACAGAAGAGCTGTCCAGTCAATTCTTCCTGTGGATGTGTTTTTTATAGACGGAATTCCTGCTTAATATAGTACTCACCCTGGTCTAATTTCTTCAATATCTGGAACAAGATTGAGAAATTCGTTTTTTCCTGCTCGGGCCAAATAGGGCGTTTCCACAGCTGGGACAATCTGAAACTGTTCAAATTCTGGGCAGGGACTAGAGGCCCGGGAATTGGCTTCTGGGGTCCTTTAAAAGAGAGAGATTAGAAAGAAAAGGGTAACAACAGTATCAGTTACGATCAAGGCACACTGAGTACTGTCTCACTGGGAGGAATACAGTGCCCCTCCCTAAACCCCAGCTACAAACTTGAGTTTCAGAGATCTCAGCTGAGGAGACGAGCTGGCTTCAGAAAGTTAACTCTGAATTCAACTGGTATCCTTCTGAAGTTATGAAAGGAAACTGATCATTGATGACCACTGGGTCACACAGTCTATCTGCCTATATTAAAGCTGTCTGAACACATTATCTGGAATATGAACTCTATTCCTTTATATGTTTCTTTTTAGTCTCATGGCCACACCAAAAGTGATGTTTCTCAAAGTGTGCTCCCAGCCAGCAGCATCAGCTTCACCTGGAAAACTGTTCAAAAACTCAAATTCTTAGACTCCAAGCCAGACCTATGGAATGAGAAACTCTGGGTGGGGTTGAGCCATGGGGGCTTCAACAAGCCTCCCAGGGGATGATGATGTACACTGAAGTCTCAGAGGGCCACTGCCTTAGAAAATGGAAGAGAAAGCAAACAAATGGGAAGACCGTGGGTTCCTGAATGGTCATGCAGAGTAGACCTGCACCACTGACCTGGACTTGGACCAGCCCTCATGACTACTGTGTGATAAATAAATTCCTATACTCTGTATTGTTAGGTATCTTTGTACAGCAATGTAGCATTGTATCGCACTAATTCTAAAAAGCCCATTTTAACATTTTTTTATACTTTATTCTTTTTTTTTTTTTTAAATCGAGTTGGCCTGGTGCAGTGGCTCACGCCTGTAATCCCAGCACTTTGGGAGGCCGAGGTGGGTGGATCACCTGAGGTCAGGAGTTTGAGACCAGCCTGACCAACATGGCGAAACCCCGTCTCTACTAAAAATACAAAAATTAGCTGGGCATGGTGGTGGGCGCCTGTAATCCTAGCTACCCAGGAGGCTGAGGCACGAGAATTGCTCGAACCCGGGAGGTGGAGGTTGCAGTGAGCTGAGATCACGCCACTGCACTCCAGTCTGGGCGACAGAGGAAGACTCCCTCTCAAAAAAAAAAAAAAAAAAGAAATAGAGTCTCACTCTGTCACCCAAGCTGGCATGCAGTGGTGCAATCTCGGCTCACTGCAACCTCTGCCTCCCAATCTTCCTGCCTCAGCCTCCCTAGTAGCTGGGATTACAGGTACATGCCCCTATGCCTGGAGGCTCACTGCAGCCTCAACCTCCCAGGCTCAAGCAATCCTCCCACCTCAGCCTCCTGAGTAGCTGGAACCACAGGTGCATGCCATCATGCCTAACTATTTTATTTATTTTTTGTAGAGATGAGGGTCTCCCTGTGTTGCCTAGGCTGATCTCAAACTTGTGGGCTGAAGCAATCCTCCCACCTCAGCTCTCCAAAGTGCTGAGATTACAGGTATAAGCCATTGCACTCAGCCACCATTTATTAAATTGGGATTCATCTTATAATTGATGGCATGCTGAAGTTAGTTGTCAGTGCTTTTTCTTCTTAGTGACATAGAATAGTCCCTACAGTCTGTGGCATCCTAAATTTAATGAAATTACCTGGTTGTGTTATTTTCTCCAGTCACCTTTGCCTAGGTCAGTGTTGGTACAATAAGATAGACAGGTGGATAACCAGATGAGAATAATTGATGGAGATGCACAAGAGTGAGGGTGTGTTGCAAAGAATGGATTATGATGATGAATCATGGACTCTAGACTAAATTTGTCTTTTTCTTTCTCTTTTTTTTTTAGGGACAGGGTCTTGCTCTGTCGCCCAGGGTAGAATGCAGTCGTGCAATAATAAAACCTCACTGCAACCTTGAACTCCTGGATTCAAGCAATCCTCCCACTTCAGCCTCCCAAGTAGCTGGGACCACAGACACAGGCCACCACGCCTGACTATCTTATTTATTTTTTGTAGAGATGGCATCTTGCTATGTTGCCAAGGCTGGTCTCGAACTCCCAGCCTCAAGCAATCCTCCCGCCTTGGCATCCCAAAGTGCTGGGAACCACCTCACCTGGCCTTGTCTTTATTTTTCTTACCTACATAATTTGCTGTGGAATCAAAATATTTTTTTCCAAAACAGTTTCAAAATATTTTTCCCAAGATAGGACTTCCTATGTCTGTTATTATGACTGGGGAGACAAGCAGGGGTAGGAATGGAGGACAAAACTAGCAGAAAGGGATGAAGAAGACAGTCATCATGAGTTGATGATGCAGAAGGTTAGTAAGCCAATATGTGAAGAGCTGCCAGTAGCTAGCACCTCTCCAGTCACCATGATAGCCAAAAAGGCTCCCACACATTTCCAAATGCTGCCTAGGGAGAAGGTGCTGCCTTCAGTCAAGAACCATTGAGCTAAAGGAAGACTGACATTTACCTTGGTTCTTAGATTGATTGACTTCTCTCAGTGAAATCTGGGTACTTACTTCTGATCCAAAGAGTTGCTCCTAGAGTCTACCAGAGAGGGGCAGGTGGAAGAGGGGGTGAGGGTGGCACTGCTGAAACTGGACTCAGAGGGATCCCGTCCAATTGGAGAGATATCAGACAACTGAAAGCAAACCAAACACTATAAGTTACATTCAGCTGAAAAAAGCTGCCTCTACAATAACAATAGCAAGTTTCAACAACCAGAGCCTCACTTTGATACATCTTGTTTCAGAAAGTCATTTAAGAAAACAAGCCCATATGTACAATTATTATTTATCAATAAATAAATACATAGATAAAATTTTAAGAGACAAGGCCTTGCTCTGTTGCCCAGACTGGAGTGCAGTGGTGCAATCTCAGCTCACTGCAACCTCCACCTCCCGGGTTCAAGCAATTCCCCTGCCTCAGCCTCCTGAGTAGCTGGGATCACAGGCATGAGCCACCACGCCTGGCCCATTGTTTTGTTTTGGGTTTATTTTGAGGCGGAGTTTCACTCTTGTTGCCCAGGCTGGAGTGCAATGGTGTGATCTCGGCTCACCGCAACCTCCATCTCCCAGGTTCAAGCGATTCTCCTGCCTCAGCCTCCTGAGTAGCTGGGATTACAGGCATGCGCCACCACGCCTAACTAATTTTGTATGTTTAGTAGAGATGGGGTTTCTCCATGTTGGTCAGGCTGGTCTCAAACTCCCAACCTCAGGTGATCTGCCTGCCTTGGCCTCCCAAAGTGCTGGGATTACAGGCGTGAGCCACCGCGCCCAGCCCCCCGGGTCTGTTATTATTATTTTAAGAGACAAAAAAATACTCTGTCATCCAGGTTGGGGTGCAATGGCACGATCATACCTCACTAAAGCCTCAAACTCCTGGGCTCAGGCAATCCTGCCTTGGCCTCCTGAGTAGCTAGGGCTATAGGCATGTACCACCACATTTGGCTAATTTTTCAAAAAATTTTTTGTAGAGATAGTGTATTTGTGCTATAGTGCCCAGGCTGGTCTCAACCTATTGGCCTCAAACGGTCCTCTTATCCTGGCCTCCTAAGTGCTGGGATTACAGGTATGCACCACCACACCGAGCCCCTGAGTTAATGAGTGGTACTACAGTGGTGCATCTTCCATGTGTTAGGCATTGTTCTAATAATATGGCAGAGGATCTGCCTCCCTGGAGTTTAAGACAGACAATAAACTACTCACCAAGCACTTTAAAAGCATCAGGAAGCAATTAGCGCTACAGCAAAAAATAAAGCTGGAAAGAGGGGTGGGTAGAAAGTTTCAGAGAGCTGTCAGATTACCAGGTGTTAACAGAGTCCACTCACAGGAGGCGATAAATGGAGTAGAAAAATGAAAGCGGTAAGAGAGCCAACCACGGGAATACCTGGGGAAAGGCAATTCCAGGCAAAAAAATAGGTGTGCAAAGACCCCAAGGCAGGAATGAGCTGGGAGGGTTTAAGGTCAAGCTGACTAGAATTGAGTGAGGAACACAGAAATTCTCTAAAGTGTTTACTTCACTCTTTGTTGAAGTCAATAAAACTTTATGCCACCAAGAACCTCAGGGTTTCCTTGTACCCTGGCATAGAATAACATACCACCTCCCTATAGAATATTCTCCTCCAAAGGAGTCATGAAAAAGTCAAAATGTTTCCCATCTGATAATCACTCTAAGAGACACAAAGGAGTACTTTTATCTTCAGAAGTCAGTGTTCGGACACTGAAAAATTAGAATGACTACCAGAGCAGTATGTCATAAATTTTCAAATACAATGCTATGCCCATGTCAAGTTGCTTAAAAGCAGCAAAAACCAGGAATAGGTAATCTGGGATGCTGTGGAGAAATCAGTTATCAACACACTGGCTAAAAATTATAGCTTCAATGTCTCACCTTACAGTCACTGATGCTGCCGTGCACCTGGCTGAATTCTCTGTTGAAAGTGTGGGTGAGAAGTTGCAGGCACTAAAGAAGAGAAAGAGAAGTGCAAGCTGAATGTAAAATGTCAACAGCCAGGAGCCTTGGGATAGCTGACCACGTGGAGGCTACTGGAGGGCTGAGTTCCCAGGGAGGGCACAGAAGCTCCACATCTCTCCCTATGCATTCGTCCATCTGCTGTTCATTGGTCTCCTTTGCACTGTCCTTTCTAATAAACCAGTAAATGTAAAAACAAACAAACAAACACCTCAATGACTTAATGAAGCCCTGGATGCAAGGTAGGAGGGGAAATAACATGTCCTAAACCCACAGTGCAGCTCAGATGTTGCCCTAACAGCTCTAGAAATTAAGTATATAGCAAGGGAAGTTCTATGTATGTCTAATAAAGATAAAGCAAGCGGCTTAAAAAAGCCTTTCTCAAGATTACCAAAGTGAATTACTAAAAACACCATAGTTTTGGCTGGGTGTGGATGGCTCATGCCTGTAATCCCAGTACTCTGTGAGGCCAAGGCAGGAGGATCACCTGAAGGCAGGAGTTCGAGACCAGCCTAGCCAACATGGTGAAACCTTGTCTCTATTAAAACTACAAAAAATGGGCCAGGCATGGTGGCTCATGCCTGTAATCCCAGCACTTTGGGAGGCTGAGGCAGGTGGATCACAAAGTCAGGAGATCAAGAACATCCTGGCCAACATGGTGAAACCCCACCTCTACTAAAAATACAAAAATCAGCTGGGCGTCATGGTGGGCGCAGGTAATCCCAGCTACACTCGGGAGGCTGAGGAAGGAGACTCACTTGAACCCAGGAAGTGGAGATTGCAGTGAACCAAGATCACAGCACTGCACTCTAGCCTGGCAGCAGAGTGAGACTCCGTCCCCTCTGCAAAAACAAAAACAAAAACAAAAACAAACCCTACAAAAAATGAGCTGGCAATGGTGGTGCACACCTGTAATCCCAGCTACTTGAGAGGCTGAG